AATATACCAACTCCCTGAATGGCTTCAAGAGAAGATACTATTGATGAATTACAAGGTTGTGTGACTTAGCATGTTGAGCACCAGGCCCAGTTCTAGGGAGGAGCCTCCTGGCTCCTGCACCAGCAGTATCAGGCTCTCAGACTTCCTGAGTACTCAGGGATGCACTGGACACCTGCATGTTTGTCCCCAGATTATCTGTTGGAAAGAATGCTGTGTAATAGGAAGCAAAGCAGCCAGATGCCTGCATCCAGGATGCAGGAGTAGGACCCCAGGTACGTCAGGAGTTGGGGACAGCAGGCTTCCTGCCAGGAAAGGTGCTACAGAAAAGCTTAGGCTGGACACTGTGCTTCAGTGTGTTAAAAGTCTGTGCGAATCATTAAAAGGGGATGGGGACCTCATGTGCTTGCCAGCTCAGGCAGTGGTCATACAGGCTTTAGGTCACACGGAGGGGGAGGTAGGCATGTTTGCCTCTCCCCCGACAGGGGCAGCAGGTGCTGCCATCCTGACCTAGCTAGCCTCACTTGATGGCCGAAACCCATGGGCTCCAACCCTCATGCACTGCATGTTTGATGTGGTGTCTCACCAGGCTGCAAATCAGAGAAGGGAAACAGGAGACAAAAGGGCACTTCATTGTAGGCTGCTCTTCAGACCATGCTGAAGAGTGAGGAAGGACTTCCCACAGGTGTGCTTGCTGCAGGAGGTAGGCAGGTGCCATTGCTGCCGACAGTCTGGGAAGGGAATGACACAAGGTCAGGCATTGGTCCCAGGTGGGCCATGAGTCAAGAACGTCTGTCCTGAGCTTTGGTGTGCAGGCAGCTTCCACAGTGCATGCTGGGTACTTATTCGTTAATGCAGTCTCACTGACACTGTCTCTGTCAAGGCCACTTGATGTACAGAAGATGGGAAATGCTCATGGTTGGTTTGAGGTTTGATTTTTGAGTACAGCTTTAATTTTATAAAATAGAAACTGTGAAATCAGGGCAATTTTTCATGTTATTCTTATTTGCACATTTGCTACCATTCATAGTCTAAAAAAATAATCTTGCCTTTAAAAAGAAGGACGCTGTTACAAGGACCCTGCCACTGTTGCAATCCAGGCGTGTGTGGCCGTTAAGTGTCTTTGGCCCTTGAAACCTTGCTGTGGCCTTCAGGGTGCCAAGGCACATGTGGCTCCAGGACATACAGCCCCAGCACAGGTACCTGCAGTGCCTGGCCCGGGGGCACATGGGTCATGAGGTGCCTCTGGGCTCCAGGCTACTTGGCTACCTGGATGCAAACGCCAGGCTGGGAAGGCTGGCGTTTGGTGGTGTCCACAGCGCTCATCTTAGTGAAGGGTGGTGGTGACAAAGTGCTCTCATTCTACCTGACTGCGACCTCTTCTGGTGTTCAGTTGTTCAGGAATCATTAGGACAGACTGTGGCTTCAGCAGGTCGTTCAAGAGAGCTCTCTGTGGACCAGAAAGTTCCCTCCTCCTCTCTCTCTCTCTCTCCCTCTTTCCCCCTCTCTTTCTTTCTTTCCTGGGACAGTAGATAACTATTTGTCCCAAACTTTGGTCCTTTTAACACAATGGAATTTTATTTTACTTTTAAAAACTCCAGTTAGATTTCCATTTGGGTACCTATGCAGTGAATTCCACAGTCAGCCATGGAACTCAGTTCTGGGAGTCTGACATGTGCTTCAGAGGTCCGTGTAGGCTTAAAAAGTAAACTTGATATTAAAGTCTAGTTAGAATAATTGGATCTGCTTTTACTGGTCCTGTTTTTGTTTTGTTTTGTTTTTTAGACAAATTAGGTCATATTATTTTAAATTGCTCATCGTAGTTTCAATCTGCAAAAGATACAGCCTCTCAGCACTCTTCTCCCATGGGATGGCTTTACCGTTGTTATGTTAGTGAGGTAGTAAGTACAGATAACTCTGGGTTTTACCTAACTTAAAATCAGCATTTCTCCAAGCCCTGTTTCCACAGCCTGAAGTCTGTCCTGGAGGGGCATGCACACACTGTCCATATCAAGGGCAGCCCCTTGGAGTCGTGCTGTGTGATCAGTGAATAAAAGAGTAGGGTAGAGGTGCCCAGCACACTCTCCACAGCCATCATCAAGCTACAGGTTAGGCCTGCTGAGCCCTTTCTTCCTGGGCTGGACCCACTGCTGTGCAGAAGCAGTGTTCCCCTGGGGAGGGTGCGCTGTCACCTGGGCCCAGCCTCTACCTGCAACCCTGTCCAGCCACTCTGTCCCTGTGCTCCTGCCCTGCTGAAGGGAAGACCATGGGGGAGCTGTGGACTTGTTTACTTCCTCAGGGAGCTCATGCTGCTGGTCAGTCCTTGCTGCATGCGACCACCCCTGCAACTGGATGGTTCTGGCTGGAGCCCAAAGTCCTGCCAATGGGCACTGTCCCCGGGCTCCCAGCATGTATGGTGGGGTGTGGCATCAAGCCAACTCATGGAGCCCCCAGGCAGTGATTTCAGGGAGCTAGCTCTTCCCGTAACCCAGGCGGGCTGGGGAGGCTGAGGCTGGGGTGTCTGCTAGGAGTGGTGGTGTGCCGCCTTCACTCAAAATTGTCTATGGAAGATGCTGTGGCCTTGGAGTTCCCACACATCCTTCCACATGCTGCATGCTCACTTTGGCAGTTGTGTTGGTTTTGCTCATCCGTTCTTGTGCCAGTTTCTCCTGTTTCCCAAACAATCATTTAACTGGCTCGTACCTGTGTGCATGCCTGGGCTGTAGGGTTTATATTGAGGCTGGCAGAATGAGAATGTTTACCTTAGAAAATCCTACTCATTGTCATTTTCCTGTCTCATTGTTGATACCATGTTACTTGAAGTTCTTGAAGCCACAGACATGCTTCATGCTTCACAGACATGCAGGGTGGGTGGTGTCTTGCACCTCTAACCAGAGGAAGCTGGGTAACCAAAGGCCCTTGTGGATTTGGGGTCCAAAAGCTGACCAGTGCCCTGAAGGCAGTCCTTCATCTGCCTGCAGAACTCCTGCCAGGGAAAGGGAAAGGTTTGGGCTGGGCTGTGGCCCGTGGAAGCATGGGGCTGGAGAACTGTGTGGCAAGCGCCTGGGGCCCTGGCCACATAGATTGCCACCCTCTGAATCTGGCCACGTAGGCGTGGCATGGTGCACAGGGCTCAAAGATCAGCTCGGCCCTTAACAGTGGCCACCCTCTCAGACCTGGGAGATATCCATGGTTGCCTTAACAGTAGCCACCTTCTCAGACCCGGGGATGTCCATGGGTGCACAGATGGCCCCATGGGTCTCACCAGAGGTCATGAAAGCCAGGATCCATCAAGCAGGGCGGCTGCTTCACACACATGGGTGCACAGATCACACTTGTACTTATGAGCATTGTCTGCACACCAGCCCACATGGCTGTCTTTACACATGAGCCAGTCCATCTGCCTATATCCCCAACAACAGGCACTCTGTTGCTCTGTGCCTCAGTTTCCTCCTTTGTGAAGCAACTCCTAATGATGCCCTTGTAAGGACGCAGTGCTCAGGGTAGAGGACTCAGTGGAGCCCTTGGGACACTGTTAGTGCCCTTCTCTGAGCTGATTCTCATTGGTGTCCTGCTTTGTGACGGGCTGAAAAGGCTTTTTTTGGTGGTGGTACTGGGATGGAACATAGGGCTTTTTGTACTGAGTTACAACCCCAGTCTTTTTTTTTTTCACATAAGGTGCTAAGTTGCCCAGATTGGGCTTGACCTTAGAGTCCTCCTGCTTCAGCATCCCAAAGTGCCGGGGTACAAGTGTGTGTACCCCTCCCCCAGGCTTGGTTTGAAAGGAGAGGAGGATGCTTGTGCATTGGATTCCTCCATGGGACGTCCTGTGGCCACACTGGTTGCCTGGGACCCACATTCTGCTCCTCAACCCTCCCCAAGGGCGCGAGGCCAGCAGAGCCCCTCGGGAAACATGGCTATGAGCTCAGTGAACATGGGGAAGCCACAGCTGAGCAGAGCAGCCAGGCCCTGCAGGGATTCAGCAGAGGCCCTGGGGAGGCCACATCCCAGGGCTAGGACAGAGCTGGGTGGTGGTATTCTCTGCCTCTTGTCCCTAGCACAACGGACTTGGTGACGAGTGTGACCATTTTCTCCACTTAGTTTTGACCACTTTTGGTAATTCTTATTTCTTTGCCCCTTTAGTAGTTGCTTATCATATTCTTATAAACTGATCAAACCATTCATGAGTTTCATGTATCTCTATATCATAAATACTACAGTTTTTCTGTTAGCTTTGTATCTTAATGTTATTTGTCACAATGATAGTTTAAACTTGGTCTTCAACTGTGTCGTGTTTTAGATCCTTGGAGGTAATGTCTGCACAGCAGGTATGAATGTGCACTCAGACAGCTGTGGGCCACCTGCAGACCCACCCCTGGGAAACCCTGTGGGCCCTAGCAGTCACCCAGGGTGCATCCTGCCTGCCCTCTAGGAGGGGCTGCCCTCTGAAACAGTATCACACACAGAGGTTGACAGACCATCTCTGTCTCTGACCTCATGTCTTGGTGCCCTTACCTACATGCCTGGTGCCAGCACTGGCCCCATGGAGTGTGCCCGTTTGTGATTCATCTGTGTTCATGTGTTGTAGCAGGGCAGCTTCTCTTGTGTGAATACTCTCAGTGTCCCTTGGGTTGCTTGTGTCCAGGAGGGCCATGGGGAAGACATGTGCACTTGTAGACTCCTAGGATGGAATTGCAATCTTGGGGCAGAGGTGTCCCACAACCTAAGAAAGTGCCCAGCATTGTCCCAAGTGGGCACCCCTGTTCCCACCCCTCAGCACCCCCAACCTGCAAGGTGATGGCTGCTCCTCTGTGCTCTTATTTGATGACAGGGCGGGTTGGGAGCACATCACCTCAGCTGAACTCCTTCCTGCTCTGGGGCCTTGTTAGACACAAGGCTGAGAAATCCAGTGGTGCCCACAGGTCACCATGGCAGAAGGGTGGGTGCCGGCTCCAGTGTGGCAGGTCCCTAGGCTCTGACATCCATGTCCCCTCTGCCCACAGCAGCAGCAGGAGATGCTGGCTCTCAAGCACCAGCAGGAACTGCTGGAGCACCAGCGCAAGCTGGAGAGGCACCGCCAGGAGCAGGAGCTGGAGAAGCAGCACCGTGAGCAGAAGCTGCAGCAGCTCAAGAACAAGGAGAAGGGCAAGGAGAGTGAGTGCGGAGCGGGCTGGGAGGGCAGGGGTGGGCGGGGTGGCCTGGCCGTGGCACAAGGCTCTGCCGGGGGCAGGAGCAGCAGTGGCTAGGGTAAGGCCTCACCATGCCACTCACCCCCAGTGGCCTATGCTGGCTTCCCAGAAGCTGCTCTTCGGGACCTGCCCTGCAGGTGTGTGTGTGTGAGCGCCTCTGCATGACTGTCTCAGGCCCTCTTACTCAGCCCCTGAGGGTTTCTTCATCACGCGGCAGCCTCAGCCCTGCTGAAGTCTGGGGTCGGTAGAGTCAAGCCAGCAGTCCCTGGTTTTGTGGCCCCCTGCTGCCAGATTCAATGTGTACACCAAAGTGTGGGCATGGCCGGGGCTTTCCCTTTGAGAGAACCATTTAAAGACTTCTTGGTGGGAACCCTCAGAGGGAATTAAAATCCACAGCGTGGGCCAGATACACAGTGTGTCTTATCCTTGAGGTCTGCCCTGTGCTTCTCAGACGCATTTGTTCTAAGAGGTAGCTGCTAGCGTAAAGGCCACCTTCAGCTTAGGCACAGACCCCGGCAGGGGCCAGCGGCTCACTTTCTCATTGGCTTTCGTCCTGACCCTGCTTTGCTCAGTGGCTATGTATGTGCATGCGGAGACAGTGTGCTTGGTCTCCTGGCAAAGGAAGCAAGCACTTGACGTAGACAGGAGACCACGCTATGTGCTAGTCCCCCTTGGGAATACTAGGAGAGTGTGACCCCAGAAATTGGTCCCCTTGCTGCCCCACCAAGAGCTTCTGGGGCTGGACCTCCTGGGGAGCCCCAGTAGTCTTAGGACACTGTCCCCATGTCCCTGGGTCTGCCCCAGCCTTCCTCCTGGGTTTTAACGGAGAGCCTCGGGGTTGGGTACATTTATGTGCTGTATGCTCATAGCTTGTTGAAAGGACACACCTTCACCAGAGTCAGGGACATGCAGATCACGTGCTTAGAATTTCCACCCAGGATGCTGTGCTCAGTCAGTTGTGTGTCCCCTGACCCCTGAAAAGGTGGAGCTGCAGCACTACCCCCCAGGGATAAGGCTCCAGCTAGGATTCATGGGAGCAGAAGTCTTCACAATACACCCTCTCCATTGGAAAGGGGGTGGGCAGGGAGCTGGGCCAGTTGCTGGACACTTGCCAGTCTGCAGAACCACTCTGCTGGACACTGGGCCTCCCAGTTGCACGTCAGAAGCCTGGGATCCAGGCACCTACAGGGCCATACACAACTGTCCGATCTCGGGCACTGCGCTGCTCACTGAGCGGAGTCACATAGCTATCAGGACTCTGGGTATTAGGAAAAATACCTTCAATTTAGTGTGCTCTGAAAACTTTACCCTTCAAAAGTCTCAATACTGAACATGTAAGTAATGACATTTGTAAAACACATGTGAGGCATAGGGGACCATAATCTCACTGGCATTTGCGTGACAATTTGATGACAGATGCCCAGGTTCCCTGTGAGGGTCCTGCAGGCTACCCTGGCCAGGTGCCCAGATTCTCACCTGGCAGAGGACCGATTTGACTCCCGGGTTTTCGTCACAGGCGGTCCACTTGGGTCCTGAAATGCCTGTCATGTTATGGGGATGCTAGGGTCACGCAGCAGGTGTTCTCCTGCAGCAGGCTTTTCACTTCTGAGCTTCTTGAGCTCACCCACGTGGCGGCACTCGTTTATTTCCTCAACAGCATGGGTCTGTGGGTGACCATGACACTTGGTTTACTGTTCTTGGTACTTCCCTTTGTGTGTTCCCCAAAGTGACTCCTGGCAGGGCTGCTGGGTGCCACGCACAAAACATGCATTGGCCTGCCTTGCAGATTTCCAGTCCATTCCAGCCAGAGCAAACACTAGAAAGAGACAGATGCAGACAGGTTTGAGGCAAGGTCCTGCCCTCCGTTGGGCGGGCAGGAAAGGGCCATCAGGTGGTCAGGCAGTTCAGTGTCTAGGCCCTCCTGTCCCATATCTTCCCATCAGGTGGTTGGGCCTCAGTTACTCATGTCATCAGCTAGCCAGGCCTTCGGGAGGATTGGGCTGCTGCCCAAGTGGATTTCTTTGTCACCTGAGAGCCTTGGCCCTGGTAGAGGAAGCTGACACAGGTGACCTTAAGTTGAGGCTGTCTGCATTTTAATCACATCCAGAGGACATTCCTTGTGGCACTTAGTAGGCATGTGACTGAATAATAGGAAGAACCCAGCCAGTTGGATCCTTAAAGGAGCTTCTCACCAGGTGGAGCAAGACTGTGTGCTAAGCTGCTCACACCTGTTTAGGTTTAAACTCCCAGAAATTTGCACCTCAGGAAGTGGGGAAGGAGGACTTGCGGGGGCTGGGAGGGGTGCTCCTAGCCCAAGATCAACCTTCTGCAAGGACAGAAAGAGCAGTGATTCTGAGGAGGGCCCTTGCCACACAGATGAGACAGGCCAGTGTGTACTAAGGCCATCGCAGGAGTGGTGGAGCAGAGCCCAGAGCAGAAGGGGCAGAGCATCAGAGTCCCTTCGTAGGGACAGCCTGGCCACTGTGCTAGGGGCCGGGCAGAGCAGGGCTTTTGAGGGCTGTCCCTGAGATCATGCTGATGAGGCAGAGGGGGAGGCCTGTCAGGTGCTTGGCATTCTGGGGGTGGGGCACCAGGGTTTACTGATCTCATGAACTAAGCCCATGGATAGTGGGGGTGCCCCTTAGTATATGGGAGCAGCATATTGGTGATGGCCTTCCTCAGTTTTCCGTCATTGTCAGCCAGGATTTTGAGTCCAGTGTACGAGCCAGTGTTGCTCTTACAGCCTCTGTGGGGTATTCATGGGGTGACCAGGGAGGGAGTTCTTGCCCTACTCCCAAGTCCTCTGCTGCTACACAGCGGCAGGTGACATGAGGAGTTGTGTCTCCCAGCATGCACTTGGTACTTAAGATTCAGCATGAACAAATTGCAGAAACCCCTTATCTGCAAATAATGAAAATGGTCAGCCACACAGACAAACCATTTTAGCAAGCTTTTGTTGAAATTTTAACCTATACTAATGCACAGCAACGTAAGATACTATATGCTTAACACTTTCTTGTAAAGCCAGTTTTTCACTTTGTTTATGTTGTATATGCATGGAGAGGAACATAGTCTGTAGTCTGTTGGAAGCTACTAGAGAAGTAGCAACAAACTTGTGCCACCTTGTCACCTTCCCCCCCAGCAAAGCACCCAGCACTGGGTATCACCTGCCACCTGAACGCTCTTTTCTTCCTGCTGACCTCTGGCGCAGGTTAATTTGACTGCTTTTGAAATGTATATAAATGGAACCATTAATACATAAGCTTTGTGTATTGCTTCATCCATTCACAGAAAGCTTGTGAAATTCGTACCATTGCATATTTGCCAGAGCTCCTTCCCTGTTCCTGCTGCTTCTTGTCGCATCGCTGGATGCTCCAGCATATTCCCTGTTGTGTACCCGGTAGCTGGTTCCTGGCTGGAGCATTCTCTGCTCTGTACTTTCTGTTGAATGGGTAATTGTGAGGAGGAACTTCATGATGCCCACAAGTTCACAGAGTAGCTGTGACCAAGTCCAGCTCCCACCGGGTCTGCAGCAGAGCTCCAGTGGCCAGTCCTCACAGCACCCACTGTGTCACTCCTGGTGAATGCAGTGATGTAGGCAGTACCTGCTGGTACCTGCAGGTTCGACTCCCATGTCACCAGTGACAAGATGCGGTGTGTCTTCATGCGCTGTTGCCCAGTGGACGTCCCCATCTCTCACGTGGTCACTTGGGCCTCTTGCTCTGTTTCCATAAGCTGTCTCATGTCTGTTTCGGGTTGGAGCTGGTCGTCTCATCTTCTGGAGCCCTGCTCTCTGTCAGTGCACATGTTGGGAGCCCCTTCTCCACTGTGGGCTTTGCTTTTCACCGTCAGTGGTAGAAACAGAGCACATGTTCTTATTCTCATGTGGCTTGATTTCTCAGTGTTCTCTTCTGTGTGCTTGTGTTGGTTCAAGGATCCTTTCCCAGCTGGGCTTGGTGGAGCGTGCCTATAATTCCAACACTCAGTAGGCTGGGGCAGGAGGATCAGAAGTTCTAATCATTTGGGTAGCAACTGAGATTGTCTCAAGATGGAAAAAAAAAAAAGGCTAAGCATGTGACTCAGTGGAAATGCTCTAGCCTCAGTGCCCAGTTTCAAAAAGGAAAAAAGAAGGAAGCTACAAAATCACAAATATATTCTTTTTTGTCATCTTTCATTCTGCCAGGAAGTGCTGTATACAATGGGCCACCAGGGCTGCTGCATGCAGGGCATCCCTGTGGGGACATGCAGCTCCCCTGGACCCTCCCCTTGGCACGTGAGTCAGACATGGTCACCTGTGTCTACTTCCACTTTCCCTGTGAGCCAGCCAAGGCTGGCCCCGTGCTGACCTTGCTCTTTGGTACTAATTACTGCACCTTGGGCACAAGGCTCCGCCCAGCAGTACCAACCTTTAATTTTTCATTGAAAGCTTAGAATCAGTTCTCACTGTCCACGGTAACAACTGGGGTTTTACACTGATTCTGTGGGTTAGGTTAGGAAGACTTGATATTTTTATATTATTATTATTTCTAGTCTTAAATATTTCTTTAGGCTTTTAAATATTTTTTAAATTGTTATGTTTTATGTACAAGAGCTTGTATATATTTTAGTAGATATATGTGAAGCCATCTGATAGTTTTTAACACTTTTGCAAATAGCTTAGATTTTGTGATTTCAGAAAGCAATTTATTTTTGACTCTGGCTTTTGTACCCAGCCACCTCACTAAGCTCAGATATTCTAATTATTGGTAGATCAATTTAGACTTTTCAGGAAATTGTATCATCCATGAATAAGCACAGGCTTAGTCCTTCCTTCCCAAGCAGGATACCCTTTTTTTTTTTGTACAGAGGATCAAACTCACAACCTCACACATGCCAGTCAGACGCTTATGCTGCTGAGCTAAATTCCCAGTCAGGATACCTTTTATGCCTTTCCCTTGTGTGGTTTACTGAAGGGTCTGGGACATG